TCAGAAGTGACTGAATTCTCTCCTTTGGTAATGCCCATCTTCCATGATTAGGACTTGAACTCTGATGGAGCAATGAAAGCATCCATCTTTAGTCAGGGAACCGATCATCTGTGTGACTTCAGCCTCTATGCAAAGGTTGCACAGAGAAGGTTCATTCCCATGCATCTTCTCCTCTTAATGCATGCAAACTCACCCAACAAAATATAATTTTATTCTCAAAATGTTTTCAGATATCCTTGTCATTACACAGGCTTACATTTGTAAAGACAGATAGATGATAGATAGATAGATAGATAGATAGATAGATAGAAGATAGATAGATAGATAGATCAAAACAGTTTTACTTTGGGAAATAAAAATCAGGTTGAAATACTTAGATTATAAAGCATTCAGTATTGGCCTGAATGTAAAAGATTAGATTGACATTTAGAAAATGATTCTTTAAAAACTGAGGAATGAATATAGAAAAGGTAATATATTAACATATTTGAATTTTTCAGTAATAAAGAAAATTATATATCATTTTCAGAAAATGGATGCAAGTGGAGATGAACATATTAAACTAATTAAGTCAATCTCAGAAAGATAAGATATTTTCTTTCATTTACAGTTACTAGGTTTTATGTAGACACTTGAAATCGCGTACATAGATGTGACATGAAAGTAGAAAAACACCGTCGAGGGGAACAAAGGAACTGAGGAGGGGAGGGGCTGGCATGGGAAGAATTTGCTCAAAGTTTATGTTTTTGTATAAAGTGATTCATATGTGATCATTACTACCATATACAATGAATGTACATCAATGCAAATTAACCAATTAGGTTTAAAATGTCTATATGAACAAAACACCAAAATCAAATTAATGGAAAAAGTCACCCTACTGCAGCCAGGGTTTGTGCTGATGTCTGCGGCTCCTGTTGCTATTGAGGGTCTTATTGACTCCAGGGGTCTGGACCTCCACCTAGGGCCGTGTTGGTATCAGATACCTGTGGCCTTGTTGGAGTCTGGGAGTCATGCTGTAGCTGGACCATACAGATCTGGGTGGCCTGTCATCTGGGCCCAGGCTGCTGTCGAGGGCCATGTCTGGATCTGTGGCCCTATAGCATCAGGGTACAAGGGGACGTATGTGACTCCTGTTGCCACTGAGGACTGTGTGATTGCCCAGGGTCAGGTCAAACACCTGAGTCCATGTTGGTGTCTGAGGGCCATGATACAACTGAGGCCATGCAAATCTGAGTGGCTTGAGCTGCTACCCAGTGCCATGGTGACATCCAGGCCAGAGCTGCAGGGTCCATGGTCCTGCTGCTACCAGGGTCTGTGTTGATGAGCAATGCTCATGCTACCATCGAAGGCCATGCACAAGCCCAACATCTGGCGCCATGTTGGTGTCTGAGGGCCAGAAGGGTCCTGAGACTGTGCCAATCTGAGTGTCCTGCACTGCAACCTGGGTAATGGTGACATCCAGACCTGGCTGCTGCCAAGGACATGTCTGGGTCTATGGTTCTACCATGACTGGGATCTGTGCTGAAGTCCAAGTCCCATATTGCCACCAAAGGTTACATAGAAGGCCAGGGTTGGGGTTACAACCTGAGGCCTTGGTGGTGTCTGGGGTCCATGCCACCACCAGAACCATCCCAATCTGCGTGGCCAGTGCTGTTACTCGGAGCCAGGATGTCATTCAGGCCCAGCATGCTGACCCATGTTTGGGTCCCTGATCCAGCTGCAGCTGGAGTCTGTGTTGATGTCTGTGGCCATGTCACCTCATGGGAACCATGGGCCATGGGAACCATGCATGATAAAAATCAGAGGGCCATCCTGAGCCAGCCCCACCCTTTGCTGGCCCTGCCTCTCACTGGGGCCACCGCAGCAAGAGAGCTGGCCCCTGCTCTTGGGAGAGATGGTCCCACCCCTCACCACTGGCAAGGGCATAGGGGATCAGGCTCTGCCCCCTTGCCTGAAGCAGGTGGCCCCAGTGGCCTGGAATGACCAGCTCTGCTGCTACCCAGGCCCACAACCAGGCTTTGGGTTGGCCCACACTAGCATCGACCGCTTCTGGGACCTGCTGGAGCTCATGAAGGGACTGGTCCTGTGGAACAACACTGGCAGGATCTCCCTGACTCGGGGTGGCCATGGGATATCCCAAGGAGTTCTGGTGAGGGCCCGGTTATGGTGAAGTACCAGAAAACAGAGGCCTTGAACCAGACCAGTGACTCACTGCAATGAACATTTGCTGGTAAAGTTGATTGTCCAGAAGGAAACAGTGTGACACCCAGACTCCCAATGCACCAGGACGAAGGAAGAGGTGTTGGAGAGGCCGGAAAGGAGAAACGAAAAGGGTTCTATTGCGGAGGAGGGTGTTTTGTTTGTTTGCTTGTTTTGGTTTGGCTTGATTTTTTAAAAAAAAAATTGGGCGGGGGGGGGGACACTGCAGGGGTGAGGTGAGGATATGGGGGGGACTGGGAGGTAAGCAGAATTAGGATGTATGATGTGACATTCCCAAAGAACCAATACAGAAATTATGTTAAACATTAAAAGGGGGAAATCAGTTTCTCAAATAGAAAAGAAAAAGCAAAGGATAAATGGAGGAATTTCATGAGCTTGTTGTTCTTTGTGATGTTACCTTGAATGAAAAAACTGCATTGTGGTTACTTAAAATAGCACCTTATTGGTTGGGGAGGGGTGGCTCAGTGGGTTTGATGCCCACCACACAGCCTCAAGGACCTGAGTTCAGATGTTTAGCACCCATGTAAAAGTCAGGCATGGTGGTACATGTGTATAATCCCAGCACCAGAGGGGCAGAGAAGCCTGAGGGCTTTTCTGATCTCCCCATCTAGTTGAACTGGTAAGCTCCAGTTCAGGCGAGAAACCCTGTCTCAAATAAATAAATAAATAAATAAATAAATAAATAAATAATAGGATGGAAATCAATAAGGGAAGACACCCAATGTCAATCTCTGGCCTCTTTGCATGCATGCCTCTGAACACATGTGTGCGCGTGCACACACACCACAAACACATACACAAAAAGTAATATATTATTAGAAGTATTCAGGGTATTGTTCTAGTTTGGTTTCCATTGCTGTGATAAAGGTCGTGACCAAAAGCAACTGGAGAAGGAAAGGGTTTGTTTCATCTTCCAGGTTACGGTCCATAATCAAAGGAGGCCAAGGCAGGAAATAAAAGCAAGAGCTTGAAGTAGCAGCATGGAGGAGCACTGCTCACTGGCTTACTCTAGGTTCACATTCAGCTACATTTCTTGTACATGCCAAACCCATCTGCCTAGGAATGGTTTCACACACAACGGGCTTGGCACTCCTACATCAGCCAACAATCAAGAAAATGCCCCCCAAAGACATGCCTACAGGCCAATCTGATGGAGGCCCCACAGACATGCCTACAGGCCAGTTTGATGGAGGTAAGAAGACACGCCTAAAGGCCAATCTGATGGAGGCTAAACAGACATGCCTACAGGCCACTTTGATGGAGGTAAACAGACATGCCTACAGGCCAGTTTGATGGAGGTAAACAGACATGCCTAACGGCCAATCTGATGGAGGCTGCAGACATGCCTACAGGCCAGTCTGATGGAGGCTAAACAGACATGCCTACAGGCCAGTTTGATGGAGGCTAAACAGACATGCCTACAGGCCAGTTTGATGGAGGTAAGCAGACATGTCTAAAGGACAATCTGATGGAGGCCCCACAGAAATGCCTACAGGCCAGTTTGATGGAGGCTAAACACTAAACAGACATGCCTACAGGCCAATCTGATGGAGGGTAAATGGACATGCCTACAGGCCAGTCTGATGGAGGCTGCAGACATGCCTACAGGCCAGTCTGATGGAGGCTGCACAGACATGCCTACAGGCCAAACTGATGGAGGCCGTGTTTTTTTTTCCAACTGAGGTTCCCTTTCCTAAGCATGTCAGCTTGACAACCAAGATGAGCCCTCACAGATATCTAGGGTGCCCATAATACCTTTCATTGGTTATCCAATGGTTAAGAAAACAGTGAGGAGGAAGCAGAAAGCTGGAGACAGAAGCAGTTAGTGGACCTATGTAAAGGCAGAAGTGTGCCTTGTACTATCTCTCCACTTTTTTATAGGTGGAAATTTTATAAAAGTTTGAGGATATAAATCTGGAAGTGCATAAAGACATACACAGGAAAGTGGAGTAGAAGTGGGGTCCCCCAATGCATCCTCTTTTGGCTTTGAAGCCACTTTCAGGCTCACCCTGGCTCACGGGCAAGTGCCAAAGGATACACGCTTGCATCTCTCCAGCCTTGCATCTCAAGCATCCGGGCGAGTGCTTAGAAAATATATCTCAAAGGGCACTCAGACTCCCGGGAAACACGTGCCAAGTCAGCTGTGGGAACAGATGCATGAGAATGGTGGCCCTCAAAGCCACCATGAGGACTTCGTGCTGCTGGATAGACTAGACATGGACCAGACAGACTGGAACTGCATTGCAGTGTCCTTTGGACTTCTGTTTTTTGTTTTTGTTTTTTTTTTTTAAACAGACCTAGGCAAAGCCGATAGGGATTATTTACTATCTGTTCTTTTACCTGTTGTTGGCCCTGCAAAACCCCAAAAGTCCAAAGAGAGCAGCTGGCCAGAGAGGACCAACTCCAAGCAAGGCCATCTCTCTCCTCTTCCACCAGCGCAGGGTCCTGAGAGCAGGAGAGCAGCTGGAATGTCTGGATTCCAATCCCAAACCGCCCTTAGAGTCTAGCCTGCCTTTTGTTCTAGCAGGCCGTAGGCTGGCAAAGCAGAGCCCTCCCCACTGGAAATTCTCTGAAGTCTTCAAAGAAAAGATGCTGCGGGAAGGACCCTGGACACGCCCTCATCGTGACTTTCAGTTCCCACCAAAACCTACGGTGTTTCCTGTGCCTTTTCCGTCATTTCACAAGCCATTTCTTACTTGTTCTGAAGTCCCAGGAAAGAGGTCTTTATCTTCCGCCAGAAGCCACGCAGCTGACTGCAGTCCATTCTGGCCAGCACCATGGCCAAGACCCCTGGTGATCATCTGCTGAACACCCTGGAGGAGCTGCTGCCCTATGACTTCGAGAAGTTCAAGTTCAAGTTGCAGAACACCAGCCTGGAGAAGGGCCACTCCCGGATCCCCCGGGGCCTTCTGCAGATGGCCAGGCCGGTAAAGCTGGCCAGCCTGCTGCTCACCTACTACGGGGAGAAGTATGCCGTAAGGCTGACCCTGCAGATACTGAAAGCCACCAACCAGCGCCAACTAGCCGAGGAGCTTCGCAAAGCCACGGGCCCAGGTAAGTAGCTAAGTCCCTTCCCAGCCGGCTTCTGTTAGAGGAGAGAAGCGATGCTCAGACCCAAGCTTTTCAGCTTTGTGGCTGGGAAGCCCCTGTCCACTGCTGTGTAAATCCCGCACATCCTGGCCTTCTTGCTGAAGCTCCCCTAGGTGCCTAAAGACTTTAAAAAATAAAAACTGATATTCAACAGTGGGCCATCCATTCCTAGACAATTCTTGGGTTTGTTTTTTTTTTTTTTTTTTTTTTTTTTTGGTTTTTTCGAGACAGGGTTTCTCTGTGGTTTTGGAGCCTGTCCTGGAACTAGCTCTTGTAGACTGGGCTGGTCTCGAACTCACAGAGATCCGCCTGCCTCTGCCTCCCGAGTGCTGGGATTAAAGGCATGCGCCACCACCGCCCGGCCCCTAGACAATTCTTTACTCCATTTTTCAATTAATACACACGCCCAGACAAACAGAAAGGGCTGAAAATCCAACCATACTAACATAGCTGAAAATCTCAATAACCACCTAATTTCAGTTCAGAATTCTTCGTTAGCATATTTTACAAGCATATTTAAACATTCTTTACTTTCAATAAAAGGTTTCTTCAGATTAAAGCATAGGTAGCTAATACAGATTATCTTCATTAGGTAGACTTTGGAATTAAGCCTTTTCTGTAATTTTAAACAAAAGTGCAGGCAAGTTTGCTTGCTGTTTTTGTTTCCATTCTTTTTGGGGGTATGGTTTTAGGAAAGGGCCTCACTATGTAGAGCAGGCTGGCCTGCCCCTGTGTCTAGAGTGCTGAGATTAAAGGTGCGCACCACCATACCCATTCACACTTGTTTTCAAGTGCCTTCTGGACTTATCTTTGTGACCTGGGATTTCCTTCAGGGGTGGAATGAATGAAAATCAGTCATTTCTAAGTCCCTGCTGCAGTTCACTAGTTTTATGTGCATGGGTGTTTTGTCTGCAAGTGTGCGCACTATTTGCATGCCTGGTTCCACAAAGGCCAGAAGAGAGCGCCACGTTCCCTGGAACTGGAATTCCTGACTGTTGTGAGCCACCATGTGAATACTGGGAACTGCATCTGGGTGCTCTAGAAGAGGCCCCATTGCTCTTAACTGCTGAGCCATCTCTCTCTCTGGCCCCCTATATTAATCTTTATTTTAATTGTATTTTGTATATGTATTGGTGTCTGTCTGCATACATAAGTGAGTGTCAACATGCTATGGCACACATATGAAGGTCCAAGAACAACCTGAAAGAATTGCTTCTCTCCTCTCCCGCTGTGGGTTCTGGAGGTCAAGCTCAGGTCATCGAGCTTGTACTCACTGAGTTGGTCTGCTCTAACTTTTTTTTTTGTTTTTTTGTTTTATAAATCAATTTCCACATCTATAGTCATGTATTCACCCAAAACAATAAGATGGCTTTTATTTACTTTGTATTTTATAGTTCTGTGTGTGGTTCTGCTGTTGTCTAGAATGTTCTGTGCTTTTCCCTTTAGTAGCTTCTGGGGAGAGTGTCTCTTCCTTCCCCGCCTTAGCCTTGAGCTTCTATCTGTCTTTCTAGAACATTTAACAGAAGAAAATAGACCTGGTGGTTCTGCTCAGTCTTCTGGAGACACTAAGCCCAAGAATGTGAAAGCGCCAGATGTTCTGGAAGGTGATGGGACCAGGCCGAGTGGTGACGGATCACAGAACCTGCCACCCAGCCAGTCTGAAGCAGAGAAGGGGTCCCAGAAGAAGTCTCAGGTCAAGAGGAAGGATCAGAGGGGTCCTGAGAGCCTGGACTCACAGACCAAGCCAGGGGCCAAGAGTGCAGCACCACTCTATAGAAAAGGCCCGGGCACCACCCAGTGCCCAGGGAACAAAGACAGCGAGGCAAAAGCCCAGCTCCGCAGGAATGCGAGCTCTGCAGGAAGGCTGCAGGGACTCTACAACAGTAGCCCCGGGAGGAGAGAAAGCAAGAAAGCTGAAGCGTATCTGCCTTCAGGAAAGCAGCGACCCAGAAGTCTTGAGATGACCACTTATTCAAGCAAAGGAGAACCCCCAGGTCCAGAAGCTCTTCTGGCTCCAGAGGAAACAATGACTTTGAATCCACACTCGTCCCCTGGTCCCATGAAGGTAGCGGTCCTGAATGAAGAGACTACTGCAGTTCTAGAAAGGAACTCAGGAAATCCAGAACCTTCCATGGTCCCCAACGAAGAAACACTCAAGAACATCCCTTCCAAAACATCGTTGACTGGAGAGAAGAAACGCACTATGTCCTTGAAGGAAAATGAAACTGAAAGACCAGAGACCCCGGAGAGTTCGGGGAAGACGGCTGGCAGTTCATTCTGTGAGTCCTGCAATTCAGAAATGCCTTTGTCAGTATGGGAAAACGCAGCCCAAACTCCAGAAGACCCGGCACCCTCAGGACCCACAGCTTGTAAAGGTACCCTCCCTCCCTCCAGAATTACGTTGCTGGGATACCTGGTTGCCTCCAGGGTCCCTCTGCAAATGTGATGCAGGCCCAGAAAATGTGTATTTATACATCTTGCACAAAGAGTTGCATCGAATTTCAGTTAGCGCCTGAGCTCTCAGAAGTTCTTGTATAGAGCCACAAGCGAGGTTAGGAATCTAAAAAGAGCCAGGTGTTGGTGGCACCTGCCTTTAATCCCAGCACTTGGGAGGCAGAGGCAGGGGGAATCTCTGAGAGTTTGAGGCCAGCCTGCTCTACAAGAGCTAGTTCCAGGACAGGCTCCAAAGCTACAGAGAAACCCTGTCTCAAAAAAAAAAAATCCAAAAAGAATGGGTTAGAATATTCCTTTCCCACAGTGTAAGTCTTGGGGCAGAGATTTGGCTAATCACCTTTCTCTGAGCAGGAGGAAGATGTAGACCAAAAACCTACTGGGAAATTAGTCATCAGGATCATATTTGTCTGTGAGAAACAGAAACCAGAAGCTTAGATGAACAATCCGGAAGCTTGTTCCTCTTCCACACAATGTGGTCACTTGAGTGACCACAACCGAACTTCTGCTGAGCTGTTTTTCTGCTTCAAGTGTTTACTCCTGAAATTCACAGCCTCAGAGTGACACTCTGGCTCCACTCAAGAGCACGGGGGGGAGGGGGGACGGGACATCGTGATGCGGGGAAGGGAGTATGGAGGAGACATCACGATGGGGAGGTTTCTAAAGGCTTCTAGAAGTTATTTGCTCTCACTTCCCTTTGACTAGAATTTCATCAAATGGCTTCTGCTAACTGCACGGGAAGCTGAGAATTTGAGTTTGGAGTGAGGCAGAGGAGCAGCTATATTGGCAAACAACTGATTCTGTCACAAGAATGGTTCCTATGGGAACTGGGCCAGGGAGGAAGAGCTGATGTGTGTTCTTGTGTCTCCTGTCATTTCTGGTGTATAGAAGCACTGCCTGTAGCCTTGAGAAGAGCTTTCCTAGCTCTTGCATCTTCACTGTGAGATTCACCCTTTAGCTTTAGAAAGCCCCTTTCTTTGCTTTTATTTCTTGAATGGGAGTAGAGGATTCGCCCAACACACACATTAAAGATGCTTGCTGTGCTCTCTGACAAGACTTTCTGCTGGGAGCGGGGACCTGTTCATGAATGATCACACACTGACCATCTCCAGGAGCTCTTGCTTGAGTTGTAGGCCAGTTGTTGTGGTTTGAAATAGGAAAGCAGATGCTGTCGGCATGTTTTGCTTTCTTTTAAATGAGCCGCTAGATCTGTGCCTGCACAAGGGGAAATCAAAGGAAAAACTCTCAGGAAAAGCTCTCAGCCTTAGTGGCCTGTTTGTATAGCCTCGTTTGGATACAAGTCAGACAAGAGAGTTCTGGGAAGTAGCCAGTTCTAACTGAGGTTGGAGGTGCTCTATGAACAATTGCTGTCTTGTAACTATCTTAGATTTGCCATTGAGGAGATTTTTCCACTGCTGTGTCTCCAGGAAGGTCCCAGGACAAGGCTGCATGTCCTCTTTGCCACACCCGGGAAGGAGACCCGCACGGTGGTACCTGTGTGCAGAGTTCCTTCAGCGGCTCCATTGCTCCTGGGGATCCCAAGACCCCAGACAGATGCTCATCCATATGCGTCCAGTGCCAAAGCTCACTTGCAGGAAAGTACTGTGGAGACCAGAGCCCCCAGTCCCTACCGCAGTGCCCACGTCACATGAAGCAGGTGCAGCTGCTCTTCTGCGAGGACCACAGGGAGCCCATCTGCCTCATCTGCAGGCTGAGTCAGGAGCATCAAGGCCATCGAGTGCGTCCCATTGAGGAGGCTGCACTGGAGTATAAGGTAGGTGCTCACTCCCACATGGCTGTTCACCTCGGCTTGTGTTCTTCATCCAAGCCCTCTGGGATGTGATTGCATTAGTCAGGACTCCTGGGCTCACCGGTAAAAACACAAGACAAACCAGGACAGCAAAGAAGGAACTAATCATTAATATTGTTCAGAAATCTAAGGGTTCTAGTTTTGAATATGGATCCAGGGAATCTCTTGGCGGTGGATTCACCCCATTTCTTTCCTAGAGCTCCCCTTTTGCTCTCAGTTGCAGCACCCCAGCTCTGCTTCCAGAAGCCGATCCTTCCCTCTAGGATTGGTATGAGCTAAAATGGCAGGGATCAAACGTAAGCATCTAAACCAATATTCTTCTCCAGGAGCAAATCCAGAAGCAGCTGGAGCTGCTGAGGGAGCTGAGGGGATGTGTGGAGCAACACAGACTACAGGGAGACAAGAAGACAGAGAACTTCCTGGTGAGGCCCGGCAGCCAGCCCTTGCCCCTTCACACCTGCAGGAGAAAGGAGGGGAGTACATGCAAAGGTGCAAAAGCTCCCGAGGCTCCGCCCTGAGTCACAGGGCAGCAGATGGTCACCTGTTCCCCAGTCTCAGTGGTGATGGTAGGGAGAGCTTAGGACAGCTCATTCATTCTTGTAGCTCCGTGTCACCTCCAAGGACAGCTAGATGGCTTAGAGAAACTAGAGGTTGTCACGTCAGAACATTCTCTGTGTTGTTATATAATTGCTGTTGGCGTGGGAGCTGCAGCTCGTTGGTGGAGCAGAAGCACAGAAACATAATCGCCGAGGCCCCGAGTGCATCCCCAGGATGTGTGCACACACGGATGACCTCAGCGTTTGGAAGGTAGAGGCCAGAGGATAAAGTCAAGCTCATCATTACTATGACAACCAACCTGGGCTACATTAGACTCCCACATATACCAAAAAAATCTGGTTGGCACACATTTGTAATCCTAGCACTCAGGAGGAAAAGGCAGGAAAACTGCCACAGGTTTGAGTCCAACCTGGTCCATAGAACAACTTCTAGGCCACCAGTTCTACATAACGAGATACTGTCTTAGAATGGTAGAGATAATAATAATAGAAGTTTTTATAAATTTTATAAAAAACTATATTGACTCCCCCCCCCCCAGTTCTAGGGATAGGATCTAGGACTTTGTATTTTCTAGGAAGGGGTTTTATCCTTGAGATAAACGCCCAAGCAACCCCCCCTTTTTGTCTTTTTGAGACTAGATCTCACTATATTCTCCTGGAGGTTAACCTACTAGAATGATCTCATTTTTTTCCTCTGGTTTTTCAAGACATGGTTTCTGGCTGAGTAGCCCTGGCTGTCCTGGTACTTACTCTCTCTAAAGACCAGACTGGCCTTGAACTCAGAGATCCACCTGCCTCTACCTCCCAAGTCCTGGGATTAAAGGTGTGCAGCACACAGCCCCAAAGAATGCCCCCAGCTTAACTAAATACATCTGCAAATGTCCTACCTCCAGCTAGGATCATATTCTGAAGTACTAGACTTCAACATGGAAATTGTGGGGGGGGACCATTGAACCTAGCACCATATTCAACAGATTTCCCCAGGAGCTAGTCCCTCTTATGTTAGTCTGTTCTGGAAAATTCCATACAGATTCCTCCCGATTCTGGAGCCCAGGTGTCCAAGAGACTAGAATCTTAGTTACATTTAAATTGCTCTGAAGATGGAGGCTGGAGAGATGGCTCCGCAGTCAAGAGCATTTGTTATTCTGGCTGAGGACCCAAGTTCAATTCATAATACTTACATAGTGGCTCACGGCCATCCTTAACTCCAGTTCTAGGGGGTCTGAAGTCCTCTTTTGACTTCCGAGGGCACCAGGCACACATGTGGTACACATACATGCATCCAGGCAAAGCATTTGTTCACATAAAAAAAAACAATTGCGGCAAAGACCCACTGTGAGCAAGGTAACTTATAAAGAAAGCATTTACTCGGCTCACAGTTCTAGAGGGTTAGAGTCCATGGCCGTCATGCTGGGAACGCGGCAGCAGGCAGGTAGGCACGATGCTGAAGCAGTATCTGAGAGCATACATTTTGGTCCATAGGAAAGAACAAGAGCTAACGGGGAATGGTGTGGGCTTTTGAAACCTCAAACTCAGTGACACACCTCCTCCCAAGAACACACCTCCTAATCCTTCCCAAGCAGTTCCACCAACTTTGGACCAAACATTCAAATATATGAGCCTATGGGGAGGGGGCTATTCTCATTTAAACTTCACACTGAGCAAGTCTGCCTCTCTCCCACCTCTGAGAGGTGGGTTTTAAGGGCATCCCTACGTACTATCTGCCCACAGCACACATCACACATCTCCCAATCCTGTGTTCCCCAGAAAGAAACCGAAATCCAGCAGCAAAGGGCTTCCTATCAGCTGGAGAAGCTATACCAGTTCCTGGAGCAGCAAGAGCAACTCTTTGTGGCCTGGCTGCAGGAGCTGGGCCAGGCCATTGGCAAGGTCCGAGAGACGCATGACACCCAGGTTTCCCGAGACATTGCCCTCTTAGATAAACTGATTGGAGAACTGGAGGCCAAGCAAGACCAGCCAGAATGGAAGCTCATGCAGGTGAGTGCAAGCATGCCTAGCCTTCCCCTGCCTGCTGTGCCCAGTGGGATAATTTAGGCTCTTGTCACTGCCAAGGCAGGAAGTAAGGCCATGGAGGCCTGGAATGGGATTTAGTTTCAATGACTGTGGTGTCTTTGGGGCTCGTGACTCTTTGATAAAGTCTCTTGGGAGCCCAGAACATCTCAGTATCTAAGATGCCCCTGGCAACACCTAGAAAAGACCAGAAGAACTGCAGTGCAGTTGAACCGTGAGCTCTGACAAGGCTTCTGCCCTTTGAACAGAATATAATAAAGGAGGGAGGCTCCTATTTCCTGGTACCCTAGGACTGGGAGCCCTTGAAAGGCCAGGGAGCAGCTTGCAGCCTGGGAGTTACAGACTCTTAGAGACAAGTAATGGAGAGCTTCCCTCTTTTCTCTCCTAGGACATTGGAGTCACATTGCACAGGTACAGAGATGTCCCATGGTGTCCCCCTGGGTGTCTTACAGGAAGCATTTGGATGGGACAGTCCTAGGAAAGACCTGGGTCTATAACTCAGCACTCCTGTCTCCTGAAGCTTCCTGAGACCATCCTTTCTGGATCTTTATGGGAAGAACAGGAAGGGAGTTTGGCCGGGTGGGAGCGGGGAGGGCATGGGCAGAACACTGAGAAGGGGTTTGTCCCAGTCCTGCAGGACACAGACAGTGGTTTGTGCCCTCTCAAATGCATTCCATGCCATTTGCTTTAGGACAGTGTTCCCTGAAGAACTGCCTCTGGCCTCAAGCACTTTTGGGGGGCCTTGGGGATCAGTTTGGAGGTGGGCTAAGTCCAGCAGGCAGGGAGAAGAGAGAAATGAGATAAAAAGGCTACATCTCATAGTTACTTTGGGAGCTTTACAAAATGCTGGTGTCTAAGCCACAGTTGTACCAATTAAGTCTCAATCTTGGGGCTGCAACTTGGACATTAGTGTTTTTAAAAATTATCTTTCCAGTAAAATATGTATAACATAAACTTTCAGCTATTTTCTGTTTGCATGCTCTGATGTTAATACATTCACATTAGTGTGAACCTGTTACCCCTCCACCTCTAGAACCTTTTCCTCTTCCACACAGGAACTCCGCACTGTAAAACACTCATTTCTCATCCTCTCTCTCCTATTGCCTGACAACCACCATTCTGTTTTTCCTGTTTGTTAGTCTGGCTGTTCTAAATTCTACATTTTAGCAGAATTATACAAAGTTTTCCTTTAGCTTTGGCTCACTTTCATTCAGAATAACGCTTTCACTGTTCATGTTGTGGCATGTGTCAGAATTCCACCGGTTTGAACTGCCAAGTGGCACTCCCTGTATGCAGACACCACATTCATTCACGGATGGACATTTAGACCGTCTCTACCTCTGGGCTACCGGGACTGGTATTTGGACACGGATACACAAGCACTACTTGAGATGCTGCTTTCACTTTCTCAGATATTAATATTACACTTACAAGTGGAATCACTTCATGTCCATCTATCTAAAATCTGTAAGGAATCTGCATCCTTTTTCCCGCAGTAGAAGCATCATTTCCCATTCCCATTGACAGTGCTAATTTCTCCACATCTCGCCATCAACCTGAAATTCCCTGCTATCATTTTTCACTGCTGGCTGTTCTAATAGGTGTGAAGTGGCATTCCGTTTCTTTCCGTTTTCCTTTCCATAGAAATAGTAGAGGCGTATAATTAACTTGGCATAGAGAATTCTGCTAGTGAGGGCAGCTCAAGTTTAAGGCTGTTACTTAAACACATTGTGATTTTTGTAACAGTGGCTCAGAGATGCTGGTCTGCAGCTGAAGGTGAGGACCAGCGTCAGAATTTGAGGCTAGGGAAGATTTCCTTGAGTCGCCCAAACTGGGATGGGTGTGTTTAGTGTGGATGATCTCACTGTCACCTCATGGGGACTCGGGCTACATCTTGCTCTTGTCTTCTCTGGCCGACAATCTCTTATCGCTAGGGCCAAGATGGTGACTGTCTCTGAGTCACTGGCCACTCCTCCAGAAGTCAAAGAAAAAATCCACCTGCTCTACCAGAAATCAAAGTTTGTGGAGAAGAGTATGCAGAACTTCTCAGGTGAGCAAGCTCGGAGGAAGATGACAGGCGCTGTCCACCTTCTCCCTGGATCCACGCTGCCTGTCCATTCCCTTCGCCACCTACAAAGTCTGATGACCCTGCCTCTAGCTTCTTTCTGGTCTAACTCATTCTGCTAACCCAGGCTCCCTGTTCCCTTTCCTCCATTTCAGAAACACTGCGCTCTGAGATGGAGACATTCGATGGTGTGGCTGTAGCAAAATGCGGAGGGCACCAGCCTAGCATGCCACGGACCCAGGGTTCGATGCCCAGCGCTTACATAAAGTGGGATGCTGGAAACACACAGGACTATGATATAGTACTGTACCCAGAAGTGGAAGCTGGAGGAGCAGGATCTCAGGATGACCTTCTGCCCCAGCAAGCTCAAAGCCCGCCTGAGCTACAGGAGACCAACAAACGAAAAACCCGATCTTTCCTGAAATGGAAGCCTTTATTTGTAAGTACGGTGGTGGAAATGTAAGCTAACTAAGAACTTCTATAATTGTCCTTTATCTGTTGCTTTGGGGGAACTATTCAGAAGAGGGGGGAAACACTTCGAACAAAGGCACCAGACAGGTCATAAAAGGCCCCCACAGCTCTGCTTGGGCCCTCTGTGTGTGCCTTGTTCACTGAATTAACCTCTTCATTCTCTAGGGTGCCTGGGGGGGGGGGGGGCCTGGTTATAACTAACATAGGATGTAGAGCCCTAAGCAGGAGAATCCTGCCTTTCCGTGTGGGATAGTATAAGTCAGACCCCCTGAACAGCATGCTCAGAACTTTCTTTATTCCTTCTTTTCCCCCCTGTAGTTCCAGAAGTGATTGGTGCTCAGGAACGTGCCGGTAAGTGCCTAGATCAAGGCAAGTGGTAGCCTTGATATATTGGGTCCCTGTATGTGCCTATCCCTTCCCACAATCTCAGTGAAAACCCTCTTCCTTAGACGGAGAGAACCTTGGGAGAAGGTTCCCACAGATCCCCAGCCCAGTTAGGTGGTCTTACTCTTCCTGTGGTTTCTGGGATTCTGACCTAGCAACTGCTCACCGCCGCCTCAACTTCTCTGACAGGAAGAGTGTGAGATTTGGAAACAAGTCATACCTGCTGCCTGACAGTCCCCAAAGATTCTAAAGTCCCATCATCATCCTGGATACGCTTAGCTTTGACTCCAGCTGCCATCACTCGGAAGTGGAGTTTGAGACAAGACTGCGGGTCCTGGGAGCATGGAAAGCAGCAGCAAGCAGGGAAATACAACTCTGCAGAGAATGGCTACTGGGTGACAATGGTGGCAAAGCAACAGGAATCCACTTCTCTCCCTACTGTGAATGGGGCACACAGCTAGGACATTCCCTGTAGAGCATGGCAGCCAGATCCCACACCTACCGTTCACCAGCTTCTCCTCCTCCAGTTCCCTTCAACCTGGGGCACAGGATGAAGGGAAGAACATGGCTCTTCTGATTCAGTCAGACCAGAGACTTCACACTGTCCCTCCATTCTGGCCCCTGGTCTTCTGTCTTGCTTTCGTGGACTCAGCAGTCAGTAACAAGGTATCAGCTGATATAAGGGATGCAATAAACAAGAAAATAACATTTGGCTGGATGTGGTGGTGCATGCCTACAATCCTAACAGCCTGGGAGGCTGAGGCAGGGTGGCACCTGTGAGTTTGGGTCTAGCCTGTTGGATTTCAGGTTATTCTGACTGTAGCCCAGCATTCATACAAAAAGAAAGAAAATAATGATGGGGCCTGTATTAGTTAGTACCTCTGGTGCTGTAATAAATGCCCCGTCAAGAGCAACTTGGATAGAAAGCCTTTATTCTGATTCATAGTTCAAGAGTTTAGTACATCATGGCAAGTCAGTTACAGTGGCAGGAACTAGAGGCAGATAGTCACATTGCTTCCGTCAAGAGGCAGAGAGTGACGAACTTTGAAAGCCCATCTTCCTCCTTTGTTATGCAGTCCAGGACACAACTCTAGGGCAGGTTGCCACACAGGTTACAGGAAGGGTATTCCCCAGTCAATCAGCCTCATCAAGATGCCTTCTCTCAATCATGCCTGGAGGCTTGGCCCTTGACCGAGCACACAGCTTGTGAGTTGAAACCTTCAGAGTGGGCAAGAAGCATACCAAAAACTCGCAGAGATACTCCAACACTATCGAGCAAAGGTGAAGACGGCACACACAGAAACGACATGCAATGACGTTCAGAAGAGGAAGTGCATGGCTGTTGGGAAATCCTGCATGAGTCAGTACTCTCAGACATACTCGGGACACAAGATTCCACTTCACTTTCCCTCCTCGGGGCTGCCCTGTCTGCCCTAGTCTCAAGGACACAGAAAGCCTCCAGAAACTAAATCTACACAGACTCCAAGAGGCACATACACTCTTCCTATGTCTTTGGTTCTCACTCTTTTCTCATTTTGGTTTTTCTGAGACAGGGTTTCTCTAAGTAGCCCTGGCTGTCCTGGAACTTGTTCTATAGACCATGCTGGTCTCAGACTCACAGAGATCCACCTGCCTCTGCCTCCCGAGTGCTGGGATTAAAGGTGTGCCACCACCACTGCCCAGCTCAGTTCTTGCTCTCTGGGTTTTGAAGGTGCCATCTTTAAAGGCTCCACCACATTCGTCTCTCCATATCATGCATTGTATGGCCAATGCTCTCCCTCCATCTCAGGGTCTGATCATGGCCGTGAGACTCTTATATTCTAAATCTCATCCCTGAAGGGAATTATGCATCAGCTTCCTTTCAGGCAGACCGCTGCTATTCTTATCATTATCAATGCTGTATTGTAACTTGCCTTTTTAATTTATTCTATTTATTGGCTGTATTATATTGTACTACATTAACATGTGATTTAACCACAGCTTTGAAGGTAGGCTGTACGTTTTACTAGATAACAATATCACTCTTTTGCGTGTGTGCGTTTGTGTGTGTGTGTTTGCATGAATGTGTATGGTGTGCCTGTCTGCATGATGGCTGTACATGTATGTGTAATGCATGTATAAGGCACCTGCAGAGCAGAGATCAACCTCAGCTCACTCCTCAGACGCCGTTTTTTCTGTTTGTTTCTTTTCTGTTTTTTAGCGCAGGGTCTCTCATTGGCCTGAACCTGGCTAAGTTAAGCAGGATGGCTGGCCTGTAAGCCGCAGGGACTCCGCCATCTCTGCCCTCCCCCAGCATTGGGATTATGTCTAGCTTTTTTTAAACAATAACAACACACGCACATGTTTCCTATTGTTTGCTCATTTAAGTTTTGTATAATAAAATGTAAGCAGATACCTCCCAAAAGTTGTTGTTGCCAGTTTTCATACTCTATTTTAAGCCATGGTTAAGTGAGTCAGCTGCTGATGGTGTTGGCATGCTTAAAAAGAAAAAACTTCGACATCCTACTAGAGGCTGTCATTTCCTTCAGCCCTGACCTGATGACACTATGCCTTTGCCTGCCCAGAAATGAACTGTTCTATCCCAGTCATTGGAGTGCTCAGACCTGAGTAATTTACACAGGTACCCTGTGACTAAAGAGACTTAATATGGAGCCCGCATCCCTTAAAGGTTCTGGGGCGCCTGGGAGATTCTAGTGGCCTTCAGGTGAAATAAGCCTAGGATAATGGGCTGCGGGGTATTAACTGTGGGGTCTTAACGGCTGTCTTTTCTGCTGCAAACACTGTTTATCTCTATGGGAAAGCGACGAAATGAGCTCTTTATTACTAGACAGTGGGAACGGAACAAACAACTGAGGGAAGTAGAAGAGTTTTCCTGCCCAGCTGTGGATTCCGTGGGTATCTGTGACGCACACCTTTGTGATGTCTGCCCTAAAACCCCACCTTAATCCCATTCCGCACGTAACTCTAAAGTGGCCGTCCTTCTAGCAGTAAGAATAAATTCATTTAATTTGAATTGAACCTAAGTCTTTGGTTTCTCCCAGTGGATTCCAACGCCACACCAGGAATAGGGGAATCTGTGTCCACGGATTGTACTAAACCTAACCAGTACTTCACTAGGAATAAACTGAGTTCGGAAAGAATGAAGAAAGAGCTAGGGTTGGTGGGTCACACTTGTTTTCTTTGCACTCAGGAGGCTGAGGCAGGAGACCACCACGAGTTCCAGGTCAGAAAGGATCGCAAGTCAGTGAGAGGCCAAAAAAAAAAAAACAAACCAAAAAACAAAAAACAAACAAAAAACAAAAAACAGGGAAATGGAAACTCTCTTTTAAAAATATGACAATGTAGAGGTTAGTAAACTGGGACCTACGCGCAGCTCAACCCGCAGGTTCCGCGGAGAACCTCACGGAAGAGCGGACACCAGCACCGAACATACCCATGGCGCGTGCAAAGGAAACCGAGGCCGAGCACGAGAGGCCAACTTCCCGCAGGACCGCCGCTCGTCGCCCGCCCGCCCTCCCGGCCACCAGGCGGTCTCCGGGTTACAGTTCGGAGCGAACTACATTTCCCAGCGAGCACAGGATTAGCCGATCACGGGGGAGGTGGGGCATGCCAGGGAGGGCCAGAGGTAGCTTCCTGCTTCTGGCTCCGCAGTGTGCCACAGAAAGTCCTTCCCGCCTGCCGGGCCTCCCTTGGGCCCTAAACTCCATCAATCAGCCTTCTCCCTTTTAAAGCACAGAGTGCTCCTTCGATCGGGCCGACCAAGCTTCCACACCGGAAGTGGTTCGCCGGAAGTGGTCCCACAGAGGCGGAAGTATCCGGCCTCCCAGATGGAACTGGGTATTAATGTCCTCTCCGCGGAAAGCGGCAAATTCCCAAAGGTTGCTGACAGTCTTTGAGGACACTCAAAAGGACGAGGCGAGAGATCAGCCTCTCGCGCCTGGCTTTCTGGGTCATTTCCAGAACCCAGATCTTAGCGCAGGGGACGACTGAGCGTGCCGAAGGCAGGGGGCGGTTTGGACAGCCAGGTTGGGGCGGTGAGCATTATCCCTAACTGAGTTGCTAGAGCGGTTAGGGTACTACGTGCTCCCCCAAAGAGGGCCACGGTTGGCCGTAGGCTGAACAGTGGACAGAATCACCTGAGTTTTCACTAACTACAGCTTTGTTTCTCACTGGAAACTCATGCTTTAGTGAAGCTTCTTCCCAGAGAAAGAGCCCAGCAGAAACAAGCAGTGTACCTGTGGTTTAAAGTTGACTCTAGACTGTGAAATGGGGCCTTCTAGAAAGGGCTGGATTCTCCCTTCCCGTGTCACCAACTGATTGAAAAAGAGACTGCAAGTGCGGGCTGCACTTGAGCTAGTGACACGCAGAGGTGTGGGGCGGAGCGAGAGCAGAAAGAAGGAGGAAAGAGGGAAGAAAAGGAAGATCGCGCAGAAAGTCATCAGACCAAGGAGAATTCAGAGCATTCAACAGGCATCGAAGAAAGGACAGAGTCATCATGGCCTCGGTGTCCACTCATGGAAGCCAAGAGAAAGATCCCCACTTGCCACCATTTAGCAAGCAGAGCCTGTTGTTTTGCCCAAAGTCAAAAGTGCACATCCACAGAGGAGAGATTGCCAAGATTATCTGAGAGTGTCAAGAAGAAAGTTTCTGGAAAAGGGCTCTGCCATTTTCTCTTATAAGCATGCTTGTCACCTAGAGACTTTTCCACCAAGGTGGAATCCAAAATTTGGATCATTACCTAAAGTTGCACTGGCTGGTATCTTGGGATTTGGCCTTGAGAAGGCTTCCTACCTAAGAGTGTGCAAGAGAAAATTCCATTCCTTCGAGGAGGATCAGCTCCGTGGTACTGTCAGCCCGGTCATAACAGGCACTGCCTGCTTACCTGTGAGGAGTGCAAAACCAGACATGGATTAAGTGAGAAGGAAGGGCCCAACCATCTGCTCCCTAAACCCTGTCTGTGGTTTTCAATGATTTCTAAACCTCTGAATTTGTACACATTTAAACTTTCAAGTGTACGTACTCTTAGATAATCTACTTCTGTTGAAACAGAAATGTTGTCCTTCTCACGTTCCTTTGAAATGCTTGTGGTGGAAGGCTTTCGGTTGACTTGGGCATGGCATATTCTCCTGTTCTTCAAGAACTTGTTGGGATCCATCACACACTATACAGGAAATAAAGTTACACACACCACACCCCCCAGCTTAGAGCTTCCTGAGAGAATTTTGAGTAGCTCTGGGTAGTCTTTCCTGCAGTTATTTTACTCTGCTTTTGTTTTTCTTCTTCAGTAATTTAAGTTCTCAGGGAACAGGAAAGAATGATGTGGAAGTTAGTTGGGAAGCCATGACCCAAGAAAATTCATGTATATGGATCTAGAAGTCCAGGAAAGATTGTGTTTTAGTACTAGAAGTCCATCCTAAGGTCTAGGAGCTGAGATCTGTAACTCGGTGAGAAATATTTCCTGTGTCAGGGTCACCATACAAACCAGCTTGTGTGATCAGGAGCTCATCACAGCACAGGAGCTGTGAAAATGCCCATCATCTGTAGGTGACCTGCTAGGCTCATGGGTACATCGCACAGTCAGAACTCAATAGCGGGTTCTTTTACCAATTATTAGTGGCACCAGAGAGGAAAGACAACTTCCTAACCTGCTCTCCCAGGGAGCCGCTTACTGGAAGGAGAACCGAAAGACTGAATTAATTCTAAAAATGAGAAACTCTTGGGATTTTGGGGATCTCAGAGATTACCAACATAATGGCATGAGTTGTGTTTCTTCTCCAGACAACCTGTTACATGGGAAGTGTGGTTCTTCCTTTTTGGAACCTTTGGCTTTATGGCACATTGGCTGAACCCCATGGAAAAGCCCCCCCCCCTTGCATCTTCGCGGCTTCTCAGAAAAATGCTCTGTCTACAAATCAGCATCTAAATATACAGTGTGCATGAGGGGTGGGGGCTGCTATACTAATGTATCTGCAAACCTGGACCGTTGATGTGGGAGAATTGTCTGTAATCTGTCAATCATATTTTAAATAAACGCTGATTGGCCAGGCAGGAAATATAGGCGGGAAAACCAGACAGGAAGTAGAAATGATGTAATGAGAACAGGAGAATTCTGGAAAGGAGGAAGTTGATTCCCCCCCTCTCCTGCCCAGATCACCGAAGCAGCAGGATGTGATCTGCCCCACTGAAAAAGGTACTGAGCCACATGGCTAACATAGATCAGAAAAATGGGTTCATCATGATGTGAGAGTTAGGGAGACCGGGGTTCGATTCCCCGATGGGGAACCAAAAAAAAAAAAGATGTGAGAGTTAGCCAGTGAGAAGCTAGAGCTAATGGGCTAATCAGCTTATAATTTATGGAGACCTATGTGTGATTTTCTTTGGGGCTAAACAGTTGTAGGGTACCAAGCCGGACAAAAACCCCAACAACAAACAGGACCATCCATGTTACAGACCATGGACTTAAAATGGAAATTTTGTCAGAGGTTAATATTTGATGTGAAATAATTTCATTTTAAGCATTAAAACATGTGGGGGCTTGTTTTGTGTGAACACTAAATGAATGAAATGGAGGGGTTTGACAGAGTTGATTTTTTATGTGACATATCCTATTTGACAGTCAATAAAATTCTACTTCTGAAAATCAAAAAAAGTTGACTCTCGGGTGGGTTTGTTTCCCACGCCCTGTCTGACTGCACTGCGTTCTTTGCTCTTGCAGCCTTCCCTTTCCAGGCAAACTGCATAGAATACATTTTTTAAAGGAAGCCTCTGTGAATATTCTCTTCTGTTTTTCTGTCTCCTCAGCCTGGCTGTCCTGTCTGTGTTGCCCCTGAATGGGGTTTACAGGTCTATTCGCCATTCTTTCCCTTAATTGGGTCCAAGTCTTCCTTAAGCAGCCGAGCTGCCAAGGAATCTGTTCCTAAAAAGATAGGGCCTCTTGTTCTTTCAGGCACAGATGGCCTTTGAGGCTTTGAATAAATGTCACTCTCAAGAAGAATGTGTGAGTGTTGGGGACTGCAGACCACTGGACCCTGAATTTCCTGTAAACAACTTGTTTTCCTCTGCTCTCAGCAGTCTGCAGCTGCTCTGAGCATGAGACCCTGACGGCAGGGGAGTGGGTTCTGATGGGTCTGCAGCTGAAAGATCCCGAGAGCTGGGGTGTGGCCAGAGCCCTATATAAGCTGCCCTTGAGCACAAGAAAGTGGGCATTCTCATATCAAGGATGACCCATGTCCCTGTGTCTCTCTTTGTCTGTGTGCCCATGTTTCTAAGTCTCCAGCTTAGTTCCCAGCCCACGTACCATAAAGCATAGAACAGGCTTTGTGTTTCTACTTGTGAACACAGATCCCCTCAACAAGCCAACTCAGATAAGGAAAACCGTGGTTATTTGGGGGAGATGATGTCACTGGGTAAGAAATCCTTTGGTTCAGATTGTGTGCTATGGTGAAAACCAGGTTTTATTTTGTAGCTCTGGCTTGTTTGGAATTCAGTAGATGGAACAGACTGAGAAAAATTGAAACAATTTTCCTGGCTCTGCTCCCAAGTACTAAGATGATAGGTGTATCCAGACCACCATGCTCAGCCTCGAAGTCCGTCCCTTGTCTTTGGAGTGGTTGAGGCAGTACTCACCCCTGATGAAGTACAAGTGCACAGCCTTGGTTTTGTTCCACCTCACTGAGTAGAGCCTTACCACAGACTCCCAGCTGTGTGTGCTTGGAGCCACTAATGGAACGGAGAACTTGCCTTATTATATGAGACTTAGCAACTGATTTCTGAATTCGGTGTAATTGCTTTGATGATACCAGTAATATTTTTTTAAATGGAGCTTGACAATCTGACCTGAAATTCAGTTGTGGAAAACCCAGGGAACTAGACTGATGGAGGAAGGTCATTGGCTAATAAAGAAACTGCCTTGGCCCAACTAGAACATAGGTGGGTGGAGTAAACAGAACAGAATGCTGGGAGGAATAGGAGGTGAGCTCAGAGGCCATGCTTCCCTTTCCCGGGCATACGCCATGAAGCAAGCTGCCAGGTCAGACATGCTGAATCTTTCCCGGTAAGACTGATGCTACACAGATTATTAGAGATGGGTTGATCGGGATATGAGAATTAGCCTGTAAGGGTTAGAGTTAATGGGCCAAGCAGTGTTTAAAAAAATACAGTGTCTGTGTAATTATTTCGGGGCATAAGCTAGCAGGCGGCTGGGGTGCTGGGGACGCAGCCCCGCCGCTCCTAATACTACACTAGACGGAGGAACAGAGCAGAGGTCGCAGCCCTGTGTGACAGTGGCAGTCAGTGCTGTGTCACTTTACCAAAATGGCAGCAAAAAGGAAGACTTATCTCCTTGAGATAGGGTCTCTGTGTGACCCAGCCTGGTCTCAAGCTCACTGTGGTGCCAAGGATGACCCCAAGCTCCTCCTCCTCTCCCCTGAGCACTGAGATCACAAGGATGTGTTATCATGCTTGCTATATGTGGTGCTAGAATTGAACCCAGGCCTTTATGCAATTGAAGCCAGCACTCTTAGCAACTGAGCCACAGCCCCATCCCCTGAAAAAATTTTAGGCCAAAGAAAGAAAAACAAATTTGAATTGCATACTTTTTTATAGAACACTATCAGAACCTCGTATCTATTTCAGCATCTGTGACGTGGGCCAGGTGTGGTGGCTCACACCTGTAATCACAACACTCAGGAGGCTAAGGTGGTTACATCTCTGTGAATTGGAGGTTAGCCTCCAAACAAGTTTCAAGGCCAGACATGGTTACACAGTAGGACCCTGTCAAACAGAAGAAAACAAAAAAGAAAAACAACCTTTGATGGAAACTGAACTTATTCTCAGAAGAAAATTCATAGCCATTCATTTTATTTAATATGTAATTCATATGTATTAGAAAACAGGATAAATTAATGCTGGGTGGTGGTGGCACACACCTTGAATCCCAGCACTTAGGAGGCAGAGGCAGGTGGATCTCTGTGAGTTTGAGGGCAACCTGG